AAAACCAAATCCCTTCGCCGAGGCCCTGTTCCAGGACGACTGGATGCACTGAAGGACGCCTTGGGAGACAACTGACTGGGTTTAGGGCATGGGTTACTTATAGGTCCACTATAGGAATAGGTTTCCAAAGACTATGGAAGCTCAAGCTTGCAACCCTGTACAGAGTTATCGGGCTGTTGGCAAGGGCCAGGGGTATTGCATAGGTTTGTATATGTTTTGAATAGTTTCTGTCGTAGTTTAACATAATTAAGCAAAAATTCACTAACAGCCCGGTGCCGCAGAAATCCGAGGAAGTGGCGCAGAAACCCGAGGAAGTGGCGCAGAAAACCGTATGCAACATAACTGCCTGTTTCGAAGCATGCCTGTTCATCTTTTTAAAGCAACAATCGAGCCACTGAAATGGTTTTTGTTCCTGCTGGTTCGAAACTCGAGCTCTGGTTTGGCCAAGTAGCCCGCAGCCCTTGTGATCATGGCAAAGGGTAAGGGAAGAAAGACTCGTAAAGGTCGTGCAGCCTCATCTTCACCTCGAGGTTGCAAGGAAGAGCCCAAATCCCTCGAAGACATGATTCAGGACTTTGTCTATGCATGCATACCAGCCTGCATCATTGTACTTTTGTAGTGCTCATGCATCCCTGTGATCAATATCAAGGAAGCTCGTGCAAGACTCCAACAACTTCAATCGGAGTTGGGCACGGAGCCCGAAGATGCCCCAGAGCCGACGGAGCCCCCCGACAGCCTCGAGCCGCCAGCCGCAGAAGCTGCAGTCGATGGGTTGCCTCCGGCAGCCACAGAAGCTGCAGCCCAGGAAGACGGGTTGCCTTCCAGGAAGCGAAAGCTTCGAAAGAAGAAGACTCGTAAGCTTGTGCTACAGGAAGACACGGACAAGCCGACCGAGGATGATACTGTTGACAAGAGTGCTTCGGGAACTCCCGCCACCAGTACTACCTCTCCCGGGGATCCCTACTATGATGCTAACAGAGAAGATGCTCAGAACCCGTGGCCCCCCGTAGAGCCGAACACCCCCCACGGGCCACGTTTGCCGACCCCGCCGCCGCCAGCTGAAACCCCAGAACCAAAGCGAAAGAAGAGCCGGAAAACCCCCACGCCCCGGAAATCTCTGCTGGAGACTTTCGACTCTGCAGCTGGAGACAATGCTGCTCCTGAGACCAGTGTTTCAGGGGATGCAGGTGCCGGGCCCCAGAAAGGCTTTACCCTTCAGGAAATTGAGGAAACCTTGAGGGACTTTGAGGAAGATGCCGCAGACGACGATTGCTGCCTTTTGAAAATCGAAACTCGGTAGAAATTTACAGGGCCCGACCCAGGCTTTATGTGAACCCCTATAGAATCATTATTGTAGTTCCCTGATTATTATATATTCGGTATGATAGGACAAGACCTATACTACTGCCGGTACTTGAACATCTTTTCAAGAACCCTCATCCCTTAAGATTCATAAAAGCCCTCCCTCTGGATACTCCCATAGCCTTATCGCCTGAGGATGGCTACGATGGTTCGCCGTTGAAAGACTTCCAGGCTCTGCTGTTGTTGGTTGCAATTATACGTAAGCTGGAATGGTCTCCGAACAGGTCAAAGCGGAGGCCGAGCCAAATGCAGCTCCCGGGTCTCCTGATGTGGGTTCCGAAGGCTCCAAAGCCTCTCAGGCCCCGCCTCTGCCTGAATCGTCGAAGCCGGCACCCAGAGCAGACAGCCTGTCTGGGCCGAGTGTTCTCTGTCTGCAATATCACCGTCGAGTCTATTTGCACTATAATAGTCAATGTCTTTTAAAGAGTTGTAGCAGTGTGTGCAGCCGCGATAAGGCTACGAAGCCGACTCTGGACAACGAGAACCTGTCGAGGAAAGACTCCTCCCGCTTGGATAGCTCCTTGGAGCGACTGTGTTCTCGCAACAAGAGAACCGGTGCCCTGGCTGTGCCGGAGCACATCCACCGGTTGTGGAAAGCAGGAGGCTCTTGCCGCCGACAGCTTCGGAAAGTCTTGATCGACTGTGGAGAGAACAAGGTTGGAATCGTCTCTGTTTCGACTCTACAATATCTGACACCCTTGATTCTTGTAGTGCCTGAGCCTCTTCGCACAGGACCTCTTCAAGCAGAACGTTGTCCACCAGTTCCAGCAGGAGAGAGCCAACCAGTTTAAGATAAACTCGGGGTTTTACACCGACAAGATGATGGATGAGGAGCTGGGTTTCAGCCCGAGCCTGGCTGCAACAGTTTGATGTTGTACGTGCATTCTATCATCTTTGAATTTTTGGGATCTCCTGATTTGGTGTTCTCCTCTCGACCCACGCCCCAAGGAATCGTCGCAAGGCAATTCGCAAATATTGCCTCCGCAAGGAGAACAAGAAGACTCATGTCTTGCTGCTCGTAGCAAATCTGGAGGTATCCCTGGATCTTTAGTTTGATCAATTTGTTACTCTGTCTCCTTCTCCATATCCTTCTGTCTCCCTCTCTCTCTCTCCCTCTCTCCCTCTCTATGTCTCTGTCTCTGTCTCTGCTGAGGAAGGACAAGTACCAGAAGAAGAAACTCTGGTTCTGGTGTGATGTTTCCTACCAAGGGACGAAGGAAGAAACGGAGCGAGAGCAGCTGACCAGAAGCACGGACATTGCTACTGGATCCGGGGTCTCTCAGGTTTCGCTGGGCCTCAGCAAGCTGAACCCCGTCGACAAAGACTCCGAAGATCCGGACGACGACGATGAAAGCGACGACGGTGATGAACATGATGACAGTGAGGGCAGTGATTCAGGTGATGATTCTGCTGCTGAAGAACCCCGCAAGGGTCCGAAAAGCAAGCCTTCAAGGGGCAACAGAAAGGCCAAGGACAAGCGAAAGCGAAAGCGAGAGTCGTCGGAAGAGGTGCCCGACGAGGCCACTTTAACTCTTCATGTGTACATCTATCATATTCTAGTACTCCTGTGGCTCGTTGTAACCCAATAACTCCCCGAGGACATGGATTCCGTGCCGGACCTTCTGGAGGAGATCCTCAAGGTCCAGAGTCGCACCACCAACATCCTTAAGCGATGTGCATCGTTGGGTGCCTGTGAAAAGCTGCTAGGTTTCACTAGGTGTACGTCTTCGATCTCGATTCAGCCTCTTCCCCTAAAGACCCTCAGCCCTACACGCTGTAAGTTGTAGTGTGCATACACACACATGCCGCATACATGTCATACCAATACCTATGCCTGTACCTATACCTACCTAGACTACCCGACAACGACCCAGACTGCCCGAACACCTACAAGAATGCCTACCTGCCTACCTTCATACCTAGACATACCTATACTTACATATACACACACACGAACAACCGAACACACATATAGATACTTATAGATTCTTACACACGCATACACCTGGACATGTTGTGTGTTTCTAAACATCTATTTATATATAGATACATGTGTATATATATAAGTATGTATGTCTGTATGTGTGTATGTATGTATGCATGCATGCATGCATCATGTAATGTATGTGTGTATGTATGTATGTATGTATGTATGTATGTATGTATGTATGTATATATATATATATGTATGTATGTATGTATATATATATATATGCATGTATGTATGTGTGTATGTTTGTGTGCATGTGCATGATCTGAATCCTTCTCTGTATCTGTGCCTCCTAGACTTAAGGTTTATAGATTAGAGGTTGCTTATTCGGGATATGTTCATGGTGCCCCGAAAACGAAGCCTCACGCAGGGGGTCGGATGGATTGCATGAATAAACCAATGCTTCCCTTCGGTGCTGACGGTTGCCATAACTACTGGGATATCATTGAAGTACAAATACTTAACTTACCCTATCCTCCCTAATTATCCCATTCGTTGCTTGTCTGGGCTCGGCTCATCGGTTCCAGCAATTCCTGGGCTAAGGGAATCGAAGGGCACAGGGGTCAGAAATACGCAGCTACCCAAAGACATTTAGGTTTGTGTGGCGGCTTTGTAGAATGCTAATTTTATTAGTATATGGGTTTGGGCTGATGACTACTGTAGCTGAGGAACACAAAGAAGCTGACGGAAGACAATGAGAAGTTGTCGAAGCTCCACGACGAGCTCGCAGACTTCAAAGCAGCCCACGATTCTGATGAGACCGTGGATTCGAAGAAACCCCGATGCAAACTGTACATACTACAAAACAAGTTCTGACTTGCATAATATACTTGTTTATGCATCCAAGGAAGGTCTGCAAGCTCTTGGCCGATATCAACAAGCTGTTGCCTGGCACGATTTTAGAAAGTCCCGTGTCGTCGCTCTATAACCGTATGATGTTGGCTCGTCGAAACCCATCTAGGACAAGCCGGATGACCATGGAGGAAAACAAGATCAAGAAGCACCCTGGCCGCAACAGATTCTCGATTCTCACGCCCTCTTATCTCACCTAGCTGTGCTTGCTTGTGCTGGCCTAGGACGGTTCTGTCTGGACTGAAGCCGGCTGACGGCAAGACTAAGAGCCCGAAGGGGGGCTCGAATGTTTCTCCAAAAGCCAAAGCTGCCGCCAAGAATGGCTCGAAGAAGCCTCGCAAGTGATCAGTGATCGGTCTTGTTATGTCGGTTTTGGTAGCCATGAAGCTAGGCATGTCTGTCGACTGATCGTGAGAAGCTTCTCTAGCAGAGTAGGCAGGTGGGGAGCTTGCCACCAGGATTGCTTTGACTGCTAGCTTGCAGAAACATTCGTGCTTTTTGCAATGACGATCTGGACACTACCATGTTGCTAAGGGGTGCAGCACTTGCAACCCGTTGCGACCGGCATTAGTTGATCTGCATGCAGGTACATTATCACAGCGATCTGTCGGGAGTACTATATCCGAGAAGTCATCTGCATCGAACCGTGAACCTGGGCCTTTGGCGAAGGCTTTGACGAATGGCTTGACAAAGGGTGTGTCTTGTTGGTATCTAGAATATGCTCCCTCTGTCAATAGTTTTTGTTCTATTATAGTGCAACACTTCCAAACCCGGCTCCAACTGCCTCGTCGTGGCGATGACGGTCACTGTAGCTCTCACTCACACCTTAGATCAACACTTATAAGTATGAGGTATAAAATTAAAGGGATTAGGGATTATATAGGGTTTATATCTGTTCTCTCAAGATCGGATTTAGGTGGGGGAGGCTTGGGCAAGGTTGATTCGAATACCGTCCTCGTAAGACATGTATTCTATGGTTTCATTACCCTTCTTCAAACCAAAGGTATCGAACGAGCTGATGGCAGAGGTGGCACATGCCGTGGTGGCAGAGGTCAACGAAACATTTGGAGAGGAGGCTGCATCAAAGCTGCAATCTTACAAGCTGATCCAACATATGGCTCGGGGGTATATTACTGGGCACGCAGCTATCACGACTCGAAAAATTTTAGCTGAACTGCCTGAACACCAAGCACCTGTGCCAGTTACTTGGGTTGACATCGGATTGGAACAAGAATATCCGTGCATTCTGTACTCTAGCTATCTTCGGGCACTAGCAGAACGGAACAGGATGGATGTACTTACTCAAGGTGTTGACCTTGAAGCTTTCTGGGGCAAGATGCAACCATTGCTTCCGAAGCATCCAATCTTCGAGCTGCCTGCAAGTGCAAGGGCTTATACTATTCCTCTTTTCCTCATTGGGGACGAAGGCCGTGGATACAAGAAGTCAGCTGTGTTCGTGTTGGGAGCAGAGCCAGTTCTCGGCACTGGCTGTGATGCAGAAGACACCCAGACATCGCAAGATGATATGAAAATGAACTTCCGTGGAAACACCACCCTTACCAGGCAGCTGTTTGCATGCATTCCCAAGACTGTGTATGCCGACAATGCCGAGCCCCTGCACAAACTTGTAAACATCTGGGCAGATGATTTTGCAAACCTCTTCAATAATGGCCTGGATATCCGCAGCGGCGGCTGCACGCAGACATGGCGAATCGCCGTTTTAGGGCTGAAAGCTGACTGGCCAGCTTTGGATAAGCTAGGGCGATTGTTACGGCACTTTAGACGAGAAGCTTATCCTTTCAAAGGTGGAATATGCCATCTGTGTATGGCCAATACACAGCAATGTCCTACTTGGCACGAATGTGACTTTGAAACAGCTCCTTGGGTTCGAAGCATGGCTACAAGTACCATTCCCTGGGATCGGAAGAAGGAGTCTGGGCTTACGTCGACAATTCCTATGGCACCCGAAGACAAAGCAAAATTCTTTTTGGTGGATCTCTTTCACACCTGTCATAAAGGAGTCCATGCCGAGCTCAGTGGTTCTGGGTTGGTGCCTCTCCTACATACTATATGTATTAATCCTGATTTCCCTAAAATCCCTTATAATCCCTATAACCCCCGAATTATTGATTATATTGCATAGCTTCGTTAAGAGTGATTGTTTGTTCGCCGCTGAGGTTACACTTTGGGATTTCCGAGTAACAGGATGTGATGCAAGGGGTCTGGACAAGAATCTGGCCCACTTGTATAAGGAAATGAAAGCTTTCTCTGCTGACCGAAATCTTTATCTGCACATGAACAATTTGACGAAGGGGCTGGTGGGAATATCTTCGGCAGCAGACTTCCCGGTTGGGTGCCTTCACTGTTTCGTATGCTTGTCTATTCTTGTTTCTGTCAGGCAATGTAGTGATGTAGTTCAAAGCTCTGTGCCACGTCGGTTCCCTGTCATCTCCAGGACATGGTTCAAGGGAGCTGATACAACATTCGTCCTCAAATTTCTTGTCTTCAAGTTCGAGACTGTATTGGCATCCGAAGTTCTGCAGGGCCACGATCGGCTTTACTTCGCAGCAATTCTTGATTGCTTGCAAGCTTCTGATGCATTCTTGAGCTTGCTTTACAAAGCCGGGCTTTTTCTGGAAAAACGACGACTTGCGAGGGTTGTGCGACATGGGCTGGCAATGGTTTCTGGATACAGTCGGTGTGCAGCACTGGCAAACGACAGGTCCCTTGCTCGTTTCAAACTGACCCCGAAATATCATATGCTCATGCACATTGTGCACCAATTGCAGGTGGACAAAGATCGTGGCCGCTCACCTCTCAATCCCTTGTCGTACTCTTGCCAAATGCCAGAAGACTTCATCAATCGCATTGCGACTTTGTGCAGGAGTGTGAGTCCTCGTTTTGTGGGCGAGAGAGGTTTAGACCTCTACAAAATCGCACTCGCAAAGGTGTGGTGAAAAAGATGAGCGATTTACTGAGACATGTCCCTTTCTGATTGATTCTAGGCAAACTAGTTTATGCCACCGACCCAAAACTAGCCACCAGTGGCTGGTTCCAGAAAAGTTGCACAACTGCAGCGATTCAGGTACACCCTAAACCCTAAACCCTAAACCCTAAACCCGAAACCCGAAACCCTAAACCCTAAACCCTGAACCCTAAACTCTGGGCAGATCCTTTTGGACAACATCAAAGTGGAACCTGCGGTCGGCAGCTCAGGAGGCGAAGGAAGAAGACTTATGGTTTCGGGTGTAGGGCTTTAGGGCTTAGGG